TTTCGGTCGATGATATATATTGGCATCACATCCGCTGATCCATTAAATCCACAAAGGGTGCGCGAAGAGCTGATCTGTTACACACTACCTATTTGATTCACCCTGGATTTCAACAAGGCGCAAACCGATCCTGCCTGTCTCTTCTTCTCCTTCCTTTGGCTTTCTATTCTAGGAGTGCACATTCACACAAAAACACACGCGCTCACGCAAAGACTCTTCACTATACAACTACCTACTATACTGTACCTCATATACCCAGAGAGGATCGCTGTATTGAAATGACCCATCAGATTCTTGCGCGGGCGCAATTGGTCAAGTGTGTGATCCACAGGGGGGAGATCCCATATTTATACAGCCTGTGACATACAGTATAGTGAGGCAGTGAAGCAGCTCTCTGAAGTTCCTCCGAGTCGTTACCTCCTCCGTCAGGGCGGACCCTTTCAGAGGCACTTGCTGTCAGTGGCACCTAAATAGCTCCAGCGCAGGTTCAGGTGAATACAGTAAGTAAGATAAGTGATGTGTTGTAGGGTTTATTTTTATTGCATTTACTAATAGAGCTTTTAATCAAAAGCACTTTGTAAGCAAGTGATTATAGCAACAACAAAAAAACAGGTTCTAGTGAATGTATGCTAGCTTCACTTATATTCAGAATGGCTAATGGTTAGTTTCAAACAGAGTCAATAAATAGTTTATTTGTATTTGGTCTTCTGATAAATAAGACATTCACACATCTTCAATTCACCATTGTTTTAAACTGCAGTCAGACCACTTCAATGTTTGCTAAATGTTGTCAAATACCACAGCTGTTGAACCAACAATGTTCTTGGGCCTTCCATGCTAAATGTAAGAGGTTCTCTCCAGCACCTTTGACTGTACACTAAAAACCTGCTTGCTCTGCGATCTTCATTACCACAAGTGGTTCGTGAACAAAGTATACATTTTTGTGTTTTATTGTGACATGGCTCACTATCGAGCCCCATAAAAAAACCTTTTACTTTGAGCCGCCTGTTTTAGAGCTATTACATGACATATGGCCTTTTGATCTGATGTAGAATAGCAAAGTTCATCAAAGGGTCAGTTACAGCGATTAACTATGCAAACACATTAGGGTTTTGGGTTTGAAATTGAAAACTACATTAAAGTGAGAAAAAAAAAAACGATGACTATCACTGCAGAGAAAAAATGTGTCATTGCTATCAGTGGCTTGTCAGAGTCATGGGGTTTGTCAAGCAGGGGTTACTGATGGTCACTCAGACCTTTAAGTACAGAATATTCCCCATTGGGCTTTTTGCCTTAATTAGCTATTACAGCTGAAGACAGATAGGAAAGGGGAGGACACTATATGCACATATAGATACAATAGAGACTTTGAATGTCTCAAAAATGATTAGGAAACTGCATTTATTTGAACTTATCTATGACTGCATCGAGGCCATCTCATGTGACCTTTAGACTTTATCCCTGCATTTGATTTCCTTACTGCTCTTGTCAATTTACTCAGAAATGGAAGATAAATGATTATATCCCTGTTTTAGTGCCATCCCATCATACCATCCATATTTAATTGCTTCTGATAAAGTAAAGCCAGATTCTCTTACAAAGACTGTCTAACTATAACTGTGATGATGAACCGACAGCAAGTTTCACAGCAGCAGCCTGTCGATGCATTGAAAAGATGTTCACATTTGCAGACAGTGCAACCTCTGTGATCATATTTTCCATCTTTTTGTTGTTCTGCTCTCCAAATAAAACCCCTTGCCCCTTCTCTCTTGTCCATTTGAGCTCCTTTCCCTGTCAGTAAACCCAGCATGTAATGGACTCCAGGAGAGGATTGGATTTTAATTGCACTGTGCTCAGGGGGACACAGGTATTAAACTGACTTGTGTTGCAAAAAAAATATACAGCACAAACACGGATACACAGGGACGCATGCAGTCTGCATTACTTTTGGTATTGTATTTCTCAATGAAACCGAGTGCCAAACCCACAGATTACGCATCAAGTACTAGCATGCACTTTGCGTCATTACATTTAGTTGGAAAACGCTGCCATTTGACATGAACCATGTGGTTTTAATTGTGCGTTTCTTGAAGGAGCAAAAATCTACACATTTGCTTAAGATTTGATGCATCATCAGAGTTTTGAGTGACAGCACTGTGGTTTTGCTATTAATTAACATCATAAGACATCTTTGTTATTCATGTCTCCCTCGACATGAATAATGTTTACCAGGGAATTGTTTCTGCAAGGCATCAGCACTATGACTAATAAGCAGTTCTGCAATTGGTCCACATATGCTGGTGAATCACAGAGACCAGTAGGTTCTCCAAATTCCAAGGAGTTGTTTTTCATCTGGGTCTTTGGTTGAATGAAGGTCACTCAGACTGCTTGTTCTATCAGCACCGTCCTTCAGGAACTGTCAGGGGAGTAACTCTCCTTTCAGCAACAGAGTGGCTGTCCAGTACTGTTCAAATATTGCTGTCAGAGCACATAAAACACACATACACACACAATCTAACCCCAAAGTACAGAAACACAACCACACAAGCAAGTACTCACACTTCACACACATTAATAGGCTCACTGCTGTCAGTTAGAGAGAGGGGCTTAACGTCAGAGGTTTGGCGGGTCATGAGGCAGCAAAAAGAGGAACAGAAAAGACGGACATAGAGATAAGAAGAGGAAAATGGTTAAAAGTGCCAACTTACCAAACATTTCCAGAGTGGCCCAGACCGTTCATGATTTTCTTTTTTTGCTTTTGACTGAATAACCGTGTGATAAAACATTAGCTATTTGTACACAGGGGAAAGTGTCACAAAATGAAAGGGCGTATGATCAAATGTTCTCTTTCCAGAAACATATACACACTCTTTGGGAAGACTCTGTATTAACCTTATTATCTGGAGATATATAATCACAAGTTTATGTCTAATCAGAACATGTCTGAATGTGCACACATATACAGGTTTTTCCACTTACATTCAAAAGGCATAAGTGGGACCAATTTCCGTTTTATTTTTTTCATCTTTCATTGTGTTAACCTGCGTCATTGCCTTTATGGTTATCCATTTGGAAGGTGCCAAGAAAAAACCCCAATTGAAGATTGATTTCCTATCATCAGTTACTATCCTCTTCACCTGCCCATACTTGCTTTACCACATTCAGTAAGTATTCATGGGAATCTGCTGATGTTGAAAGGAATCACAACCGACTTAGATAGTCTGTTTCAAGACCCCCCAATGAAGTTCATAAACATCTCATAAAATATCCTTAGTTCCACTCTGAGAACAAATTCTGGAACTAACTAAACACGTAAATGATTGGTACGATGCCGTTATCCTGCTCATGCTGTGCCACACACTTTGCTCTTGAAATGTCTCTTTGTGTCTTTTAAAATACACCAAATGGCCTCTGCTTTTATCTTGTGCATGTCTGTCCATGTTGAACTCATTCAGATGCCGAGGACAATAGTAAAGCATAAAGTTTTTCATGTCATGTCTGTACACCCAGATGCTGCATGTATTGCAGAATATGAATATTTTATTCCATCATAAGTCTATTTAAAAACCACCCTCGTGATGTTTTTCACATGGATCAGAGGACTATGAACAATGTGAAAGGGGTCACCTGTAGTAATGAAAACACACAACATTATCACCCACTCAACTCTAAGAGCGTATTAGCATTTTTTCCGTTTACTGTATTAGATTTAACGCCATCAGTCTTTCAGTTCACTCTCAAACTCTAATAAACATTTTCTAGCATCAGCAAGCAGCCTTGTGTTAAGAGCTCTGATAAATCCACTATAGGCTACATGGCCAGCACCAAACAGCTGATAGACAAGGATTGTGAATTAGCAACTAAAAAGCCAAATATGTACGTTAGAGGTTGGAAAGGACCAAAGAAGAGCAAATAATGAACTTCAGGTTGCCAGAAATTCTAAATGAATGCTTAGTTGCTCTGTACATGCTGAATTTGGGAATGAGAAAATACTTACTAACTCATTATCAGTGTTGGGACTAACGCAACTACTTGTTGTGGTAACTAATAACGTTAATAGTTACCTATTCCCATTAAGTAACGCCGTTATAGTTACTGTGATTTAAATGGGTGCGTTACTGCGTTACATTATGTGATCCAACTGAACCGAATCTCCCTGCGGATGTAATTTACAGTTGAATACAGCGATGTCCTCTCACAGTACCATGGAAAAGTGAAAGTAACCAGAGAGGAGTAATGATTGGTTAACGCGGGGTAACATTTCAGGGTAAGCCAATCAGAGACAGAGTTGGGCGGGTCTTGCCTTATGGGGAAAATACACACACAAACACTTGCTAATGCTAACCATGGATGTATGCTAACATACACACACACGGCAACGCTCACCACCACACACACGCACACAATGGCAGATGCAAGTATCAGCGAGAGCAGCAGCGCATTTACAACTTGGAGATATAACCTCTATTTTCAATTTGTGGGGATAAAGGACGCAAAAAATATTACGGTCAAATGTAAACTGTGTGCAGGACAGAAAGCATTGTCCACTTGATTGTTGAGGCTACAATAAAGATGCCTGTCAAAATGTCTAAACATATCATTTGTGTTTTATTGTTCCACTACATTTAATAATGATAATTGCTACAATNCAGAAGTTGTGGACAATTCTGACGTTAACACCAGCCCCGTCTGTGCGCACGGCGACCGGCTCTGTCGTCCAGTGATCGAAGCGTCTTCTGGAAATGCTTGAAGCATTTCCAGAAGACGCTTCGATCACTGGACGACAGAGCCGGTCGCCGTGCGCACAGACGGGGCTGGTGTTAACGTCAGAATTGTCCACAACTTCTGGCGCGAGTTCCACGCGAGTGCCCCACTAGCGCCCACCCCTCCCCCATCAACGTTCAATTACCACACCCCCAGCCACACCCCCCCACGTCAACGATCGTGAAATAGAGGGACCGAACACAGAACTTTGCGTGGGCAGCCCTGAGTACCAAACATTGTCTCCTGGACTGTTAACTCACTAAGAAAGTTATGTGCACCCCTGAGTATAATATAGTTTCTGTCAGAAACTATTTTCTCCAGTTCCTCATATGTTTTCACTCTGTCCAAGCAGCGTCTCGCCTAATTGAGAACATGGATGCTAACGTGAACCCTTGTGACAACTTCTATGAGTATGCCTGTGGAGGCTGGCTGAAAAAGAACATCATCCCTGAGACCAGCTCTAGATACAGTACCTTTGACATCCTACGAGTCGAACTGGAGGTCATTCTTAAAGGTCAGACACCTACACACACCCACACAAACAAACAAAGACCAACATTAAGGGAGACAAACATATGGACACCTATAGTGTGTCTGTTTTCAGTAGAGTAATTGTACTTTATTTACTCCATGATTAAGACTTGTTAAGCAAACTAGAAGGGTAAGTCATTTTCAATCCACATGCTTCATAAGAGGACTTGATTCAGTTGTTTGAGAATGCGAGCTAAAGAGAACTGTACTTTAGGGACTGCAGCTCTATAGATATCACAGATGCCATGGGAGTTTGACTTCAGTCACACTTTGTGAGGGGAGAGTTTGTCAACATGAGCTGGCATCATAAGTGTGTGTGTGTGTGTGTGTGTGTGTGTGTGTGTGTGTGTGTGTGTGTGTGTGTATTGGGACATTGCATCAGACGGTTTTCTGAAGACGTCAACACAAGGCAGTGAGAAAAATCTTAATTGCAAGTGTGCGTGTCTCAGGTGTTTTGCCAGCTTTTAGCAAGGATTAGAGAGTCCTTGTGGTATAGTTGATACAGTGAGGGTCAAGTTACACCACGTATGTGTGTGAGCGCTTGTGGATTTGTGTGTTAGGGTCTGTACGTCACCTCAAGTTGTCTTTGAGAAGGCCATTTGTGTCCTGAACAGAGGTTGCTAAATGTTCAAGGGGCACACACTTTCCATGGACAAACAACCCTCTTCATCTACCATACATCTTCTATTTATATGCCAGTTAATTTCACTATAACAACGACAGTACAGATTGGCTGCAGAAGAAAATAAATGATTCCAAGAGGCGAGAAAGACTGATCCTGAGTGGGACAGAACAACTAGAGTTTAAAGTGCAGCTTGTCTTGTGGACTCAGATCATTTTCACCAGGGTTGAGCACTTTGTCTTTCCTGTCTTGATGGAAAAACACACTGCCTAATACCCTGTCTTACTATCTGACCCTGTGATAATGTGCACATTTTCTTTAATAAAGATAAACCTACAAATTGGTAACGGCCAGATTGATTTATTAAATCCAATATCAAAAGTGCCTGATTTTTTTTGTCCTTCATTGTTTGAAATTAGCCTATTATGAGTCTCTTAAGTCAAGACAATTCTAACCCTTTTCTCAAACATAAGATTTCTCTTCTCGTTAGGACAGATCTCACTGTCCTCACTTTAATTTAACTTCTTCATATATTTGTACAGCTCAATATAACATGTATTAGAGTTTAAAGATTACTTGTAATGTAGTCATTTCTATATCCTTTACCTCAAGGGTGTTTGTAGTGTGTTTTTAAAATAACTATAACAGTGTGTGATACAAAATACTGGTTCTTATTCCTTTACAATTATTTACTTGAACAAGAGATTTGTTTTTAGAGATGTATAATTGAATATCTAACAAGCAGGGCATATTATCATAGATTTGTAGGAAAAGCATTTAGGAAAAATTATGCATGTTAACTTTCTGTTAGTTTTACATTGCTAACAACTTTCCACTCTCTTCTCCTCTTCTCCATGGCTTAACACCCATAAACATCACACACGGGGGAAAAGGAAAACAAACATTGCTCAACAAGGGCTCATTTTTGACATTTTGTTACTGTATGTGAGTGTACGTACATAACATGTATTTGTGTAAGTGTGTGGCGTCATTTCACACTTTGTTACATTTATTTTTGACTGCCTCTGAACATATTCAGTCGAGTTCCCACTGTGATATTTGCTGCCTGTCTGAAAGCAGACATAGAGGAAAAATACGCTTTTGCAACTAATGATGAGGTGCTGGCAAAAGTGCAAAGGTTGAGGTTTCAGAATCGCTGACTTGAACTGCTCTAAATGCTGCATTTACAGTAGAAAGCAATGGAGCAGCCAAGAACTGGTCTTAATCATTCAACAGCTTAAATCCCCACTAACCGTCAGTGCTGTGCTCGTTCCTTCATGGTGTCTGGCTTACTGGTCGGAGATTGAATGTCTTCGTCTTTACTTTCTACACATATTTTCAGGTTTACTCTGTCTGTGTGAAATAAATACAAAGAGTGCACTGTGCATTTAAGATCATAGATATTCCCAAAGAATGTGTGCATCCTGTTTTCTTGAACACTTGCAGTGGAACTGAAAACCTCCTAGCTGTCAGAATTTATATTTTTCTTAGTGACTTATGCCTCGGCAGTCATAGGCCTTGGCAGAGTTGTGACCTCTACTGTGGAGGTGACATCAAACATGCAACCTCCGATCCCGGGACTGGCTGCTGTGTCCTGCTTGGACACCACCGCCTGCTGTTGGACGAATCCTTTTTCCTGTCAACAACTGCAGGGGCACGAACACACCTGGACACTGCAGCGCTCTAGGCTGCATGACAGCAATAAAACAGGCTCTGCGAGTGTGTATGTGTGTGAAAAGCTGTGTAGATTTGTGGCTGCTTGTAAATACCTTGAATTGTTGGCTGCTGCTATAAAAGGCCATAAATGATTCATAATGAGGATCTGCACTGTGATTGTGGCCACAGCTCAGTGTGTATGTGTGTGAGCGCGCCTGTCTGAGTTAGTTTTTTCACCTCACCCTAGTGAGGTGAGGCATACTGTGCAATAATATGCCTAATTGACCGTGAGTGTTTTAATTACAAATAAGCTTGTGTCAGGAAGAGGAAAGGGACAACAGACGGAAGAGGGTGATATAAATCATTTTCACCCAAACTAACAAAAATGGCAGAATATATCTGGTGGAATTACAATGAATGGCATTACTGTAGTAGGGTGATAAAAGACAAGTCAGATGAGATACACATGAGCTACAGGGATTCGGGTAACATAGAGTAGAACTGTGTAGCCAGAGGATGATGCTATATTGAGAAAAGCTTTGAGGATTGGTCAGGAAATGTGAAACAGTATGTGGTAGTCATCTCCAAGCTAAGCTCTATGATGCGTGCATCCATCTGGGCTGGAGCATGTACGTGAGTGCACTGCTACATTTCTGTATCACACAAAGCGTACTTGCATGACTCCAGGTCTAAATCGTTCAGAGAAGATATGACTTGAAGCCTACAACACAGAAACCAGCTTATGTTAATTATGAAATTTGACATGAAGTATCAAAGCATGCTGCTAACAGCCAGAGACTGGATGTCTCTGTTTTTCATGTGATAACAATAACCGAGACATAGGTTATGTCAAACAATATGGACTGCAATAAGACGTGTGAGATAAACGGTGCGTTCATATGACCTTTGTGATTTAAAAATTCCAGTCAGGACCATTGCACAACACCGTTAATTCTGTACTTCTCATAAACATATCAAATAAAGATAGCAGACCAGATGTCACTGGCCAAGTAAAGCAATATGAATACTAATGCAGTTATTCTTGGCCAACTAAAATATTGTGACACAAAAATCCTGAATTGAATATGTTTTTGCCAGCGAGGATATGAATAACAGGAAAGAGTTTAGACTTCCACTAAGGTGAAACCTCAGCACTGTGAGCTGTTTCTCAGCCAACTCTGTGCTGGGTATGTGACATAACTTTATTTATGAAGTAAGACAAGCCAAGGGGCATTACTTTTACTGACAACATGTTACTGAGGGGAGAAATCAGGATTTCACCAAAATCAAAGGTATTAATATGATGGAGCATAAACACTACTTTGGCTAGAACTGGATAACTGTTTTAAGCAACCACTTTAATGATTTGATCTATTTAAATATAAACACCATAGTTTCAAAGTTAGATGAATACAGTAAATGCAATGACAGATGTTTGTATCTAAATGAACCTTGGAAAGTGTAACTACCTTCTTTCCTACATTTTAATATAGACAGGTAATGCTTTTGATCAAATACCTAGATTTTAACTTACTATACTCCCGGAGCCGTTGAAAATCTAGATCATTTCTCTCATTGCGCAACTCCTAAACAACACGAATACCAAAAAAACCTTGTGTTGCAAACACAACCTATAATTCCATAAACCTTTAATCCAAGTACTTCAACAAACCTTTGCATTTCTAAGAACTTCACCAAAGCACTTATGTGCTGTTGTACTGGTTTGAATGACTTCTTAAACTTGATCTATGTTCTTTTATGTGTTTCCTTACAATTGCCGCTGCGACAATTTAAAGCAATGACTATAAAATAAGTATTTTATCTTAAAATAGCACACACAGAACAAACTCGTTTTTTGGTACTGATTGAGACTCACTCTCATAAAGTGTCAGCTCATTTTATTTTCAACTTTGTTCACAGCTTCTGTGAGTATGGTAATGATGCCCTGAATAAATGTTTCATAATGATAAACTGCAAGCGGAATTCTCCCTCAAAACACTGCAATGGGAATGCCAGTTGGAACGACAGTCAGTCAAGGATAAAATGGCAATGCAAAGAGAAGAAAGAACATTCAAATTCTGTATCATACTGAGTGGTTCGGCTGAAATTTCAAACAAACATCAGGTGGCAGAAAATCCATTCTCAAATAAATCCAAACGTGCACAAATATGGGGTGAGAGAGAGTGTGTGTGTGTGACAGAGAGAGGGTAAGCCTTTGCTGTGGTTCAACATTAGCACCAGGTAGTCAGTAATCCAATCATAAACACATACTCTGTGCCCTTTTGCAGGAAGCACCCCATGAAGGGTCTCTATCTCAGGATTCATTAAGATTAAATGAGCACATAAATAGTGCACACACGATAATGAGAAAACAGGAGGATTAGACAAATGAAAGGGTAGAAAGAGGCTGAAAGGCAGCCTTGTAAAGAGTTAAACAAGCAGAAATACAGAAAATAATCGTCTCAGATCATTGACCAAATAAAAATAATTAATATAGATTAGTGTGAATTAAATGTATTATACTGGAGCTGCTGAGTTAAATGAGACTGGACTTTCCATAAATCATGCAATAACAGAGCAGGTTTTTAAGACAAGATGAACTACTGTGACATTCACAAAAATTGAAGATTAAAGAAAGGGATAAACGTTGTTTAAAATATGCTTTGTTTAACTTTCTTTATGATTGGCCCTGTCAGTAAGTCCTAAACATTACAAAGAAAGACAGTCATCCTTATCTTTTGATCCTTACTCACTCACAGTGACATGACGGATGGACTCAGGGGAGATGAGCAGGCAGTTGACTTTGTATTTTCAAGATCCATCCTCTTTCCTTCATTGATCTTTGCATTGCAGTTAGATGTGCAGTATGAACAGTATGGTGGTGTTTGATCCCTATGCAACATTTACAAGAGATTGCCTTATAAGTGACAGGCTGAAGCCATGAGTTGTGTGATGGTTTATTCATCAATCCAATGAGCATATTTCCTAAAACTAAGCCTAACTATCATTCCAAGTTGGATTACCTTCATATATAAAATGTAGTTTCAATGATGTGAACTGTGGCATTGTTTATTTTGGCTCATTGTATTGCGAAAGTGGCAGGATTAGTTTCAGCAGTTGGGTTGGACATAGCCTACTTTGTTTGCTTCATGGTTTGTGTGGCAAGCTGAAAAGCCCCATGCAGATATACCTTAATCCTCCACTTTATATTTGTATTCTGTGAGGAATAAGGGACCTAAGGTAATTGATAGACTGATGATGACTAATAGACTCATTGTACTGGAGAAACCATGGTTTACACAGCTTTACTCAGAGGGTTTCAACAACTAAAGGCTTTGTGATTGACTTGATTTGATGCTTAGCTATGAGATATCTATGATTTGTCTATTGCTCGAAAAAGTATTAATCTGAGGGATGGACTAATACTTAAATGAAACTGCACACATCAGACAAATGTTTAGCAATGTTAGAGCTCTCAATCATCAACCCTCAAAATCGATTATATTAAATGAACAATTACATTACATTGCATTTAGCTGACGCTTTTATCCAAAGCGACTTACAATAAGTGCATTCGACCAAGAATATACAAACTTGAAGAAAACAGAATCATATAAGTACATTAGGTTTCATAGAGCCAAAACATTTCAAGTGCTACTCAACTGGCTTTAGATAAGCCAGTCCTTTATTAGTATATAAGTGCTTGGTTACTAATTCTATCGCTTGAAGTGGAGTCGGAAGAGATGAGTTTTCAGTCTGCGCCGGAAGATGTGTAAGCTTTCTGCTGTCCTGATTTCAATGGGGAGCTCATTCCACAATTTTGGAGCCAGGATAGCAAACCTACGTGTTTTTGCTGATGGGAACTTGGGTCCCCCTCGCAGTGCGGGTGCAGCAAGCCGTTTGGCTGATGCAGAGCGGAGTGCACATGCTGGGGTCTACGGTTTAACCATGTCCTGGATGTAGGAAGGGCCAGATCCATTCACTGCATGGTACGCTAGTACCAGTGTCTTGAAGTGGATTCTAGCAGTTACTGGAAGCCAGTGAAGGGAGCGGAGGAGCGGCGTGGTTTGGGAGAATTTAGGAAGGTTGAAGACCAGATGAGCCACTGCATTCTGGATGAGCTGCAGAGGTCGGATGGCACATGCAGGTAGACCAGCCAGGAGGGAGTTGCAGTAGTCTAGGCGTGAGATGACGAGAGCCTGGACCAGAACCTGCGTCGCTTTCTGGGTCAGGTGGGGACGTATCCTCCTGATGTTGTAAAGAGTGTATCTGCAGCAGCGGGTTGTAACAGCAATGTTTGCAGTGAAGGACAGTTTGTTATCTAGGATCACACCCAGATTCCTTGCATTCTGAGTCGGGGAAACAACAGAAGGGCCGATGTTGATTGTTAGGTCAAGAGTGGGACAATCTTTTCCAGGAAGAAAAAGCAGTTCAGTCTTGTCAAGGTTGAGCTTGAGGTGGTGAGCAGACATCCACTGAGAGATGTCTGCTAGACAAGCAGAGATGCGTGCGACGACCTGGGTTTCAGAACGGGGAAAAGACAGAATTAATTTGGTGTCGTCAGCGTAGCAGTGGTATGAAAAACCATGCGGGCTAATGACTGATCCGAGCGAGTTTGTGTACAGAGAGAAGAGGAGGGGACCAAGGACAGAGCCCTGAGGGACCCCTGTAGTTAATTGACAAGGGTCGGACTCTGACCCTCTCCAAGTTACACTGTAGGTGCGGTCTTTGAGGTATGAGGTGAGGAGGGAAAGTGCAGAGCCTGAAACTCCAAGTTCTTGGAGAGTGCAACGGAGGATCTGATGGTTCACCGTGTTGAATGCAGCAGACAGGTCCAAAAGGATGATGACAGAACAATAATAATGAACACAGGACACACCTTGCACACACAATCAAATGCAACAATATGTGATACAAATGTAAATGAAAATAGATTTAAATTGCATATTTACATTTAAAAAGCTACTGCCTGCTTTAATAAAATTTCAACAGCCCATTTAGCCTCTAAATTACCATAAACAACATCCATAGCAATCACAAAGTCTACAATTCACATACATTTTGCATTTAAAGGAAGTTAATCACATGCACTTAGATTTAAGAGATATACAAGGTCCCTTATTCATGATGCTGCCCCCCATAAACCAAATAGACACATCATAAATCCAACATTGCAAATACTTTTCCAAATGAGCAGCTGCATACAGTTTATTTTCACATGGAGAAAAAAGTTGAACCTTTAATGTACCTATACTGATCCTTAAGCTAAAACGGACCTATAATGTATGTAACCAAGCAGCGCTGTGTCATGGAGTTATGAGCAGGTGTTAAGGATTACAAGGGATCACACCAAGACGCTTCTATTTCCCTCCGTACTCTGTGCTTTAAATCATAAATAATAATAGCTAGAACTAACGCTTGTTGAAGCGACTCAGTCAGGAATTGAGCTCCTAATCCCTGACATGGCAATCCTTTTCTAAAATTGTCTTTAAAAAGATTCCCATGCTTCCCGTGAGCCCCCACAAACTAGAAGGAACTGCAGAATGTTGTTTAATGATTTGGTACCCAAAGAAAAGTCATAATCAAATCATATCTTCGAAGTAAGTTGAACTAAAGTTGAGCACAAGTTTAAGATACCAGTTGAGTAGGCTGCTGTCTGCTGAAAAAACAGCAGCGCATCCTGAAGGAATGGTTACACTAAAGCTAAAATATGCAACTGTCGGCGTTGAGGCAGCACAGAAGAAGTATATTGGTTGTGCCATTCTCCTCCCCCTCACTGGAGCAAGTTTTACAATAAATTCCAACACTTATCACTCATTTTGATTAGCTGTCTACCTAGAAACACTATGTAGCCTCAGGCTGAGCTAACTGGCGTCCATATGCCAACAACAGGTGTTGAAGAGGCAATGAATGCAGACAATAAAACAAGCAATGGTGTACACTTCTCTTTTGAAATGAACTTTTAATGCTACATCTTCAGCTTAGTTGCTTCTTAACTTCTTTTCATATTTTAGTGTATGATTTCCCTTCTTTCAAGTGGCTTGCTTTAAGACTGCAATGATTAGAATTCAATTTATAGCAAGCAGAGATTAAATTATGATTTGCATTTTTCAATTGTGATCGATATGACAACGTTGACCTCTACAACAAATGACCGAAATAATCTGAACAACTCAAACGTAAAGATTAATTGCATTGCATTAAATTGTTTTTGTTTAATCATTTGTCAGTCATTTGAAGCAAAGATTGGCCATGCACAGTACAAGGGAAATGTTATGATCCTACACTGGTGTACTAGTCATTGATATGCGTTCCTGGTCCCTGGTCAAGGAAATTAATTATTACAACGTTCCATTGCATTAAAGCGTTAGATTCTACTGTTTATTTTCATATGCACACACAAATGTAAACTGTATAATGTCTGTTTTCTTAAGGAAACTTAACATAGGAATGCACTGTTCCTCTGTATTTACGCTCATAACAATATTCTTTTCAAATATTGATTAATTTTCTCATTACATACAACATCATAACATATTTAATTTGCTTTTCAGGTACTGTACATTATGTATACAAACTTAACATAGAAATATGTTCAACTATACTTTAATGTTTCGTCAGTTTTGTGGCATTTGAAAGCATGAAAGCTTTGAAGTTGATTTTCTTTAAACTAATAAATGATTTTTTTCCTTTCTTTCACCGTGAAACATTTCTTATCCCTTTTTTTTGTCCCTGGTTGTGAAGTACTGCCACAATTGGAAGTCATCACTTTATTTTTGTCGACACTTTCCGACACAGGGACAGACAATATGCCTTAATTAAAATGATTTAATGCATCTCGATGAAAGCTAGATTATATTTTGAATCTAAGAACATGAAAAAAACACTAAATCACTTCTTTCCCTCCTGTCACATGTACGCTCATTCCTCCTTCATCATTCTGTCTTTGTCTTTATTGTTTTATTTCATGCTTGCTCTGTTTTTCTGCTCTATTTGTAGGCGTCCTTGAAAAAACTGTGGAGGGGGAAGCCGCTGCTCTCACCAAAGCTAAGACCCTTTACAAGTCCTGTACCAATGAGAGTGAGTGAGCAGGCAACAGACAATTCATTTTAAAATCTTTTAATACCATTTTTCTTACAGTCATCAAAGGTCATGTGTCTCTCATTAAGTCTATTACATTTTCAAATTATAAATTATAAAAACTGTGATAATAATTGATTAGTTTAAAGAATCAAGAAAATTGAATTTTAAATATAAAAAAAGTATAACCATTCTAAAATGATATATTTGCTTGTTTCTATCTACGCTTCATTTAAGGTTTAATTGAGCTGAGAGGAGGGGCTCCTTTGCTCGACATGCTGTCTGATATGTTTGATTGGCCCATGGCTGTGGATAACTGGGAGACCAACTATGGTAGAGTATTATTTTCCACTTTCAGATAAAACAGATGTCATACACCAGCAATTATTTTCATTCTCACTGTTCCTTCTTTCTGCTTTACTCAGGTAAAACGTGGAGGTTGGAGAATGTAATCGCCAAGCTGAATGAGAAATATGGAACACAACTCTTGGTTAACTTTTTTGTTGGCACCGATGACAGGGATTCAAACTCTCACATCATTCATGTAGGTGTGCAACTGTTGGCAGAAAGCCCAGGTCTCTCTCTTTGTTGCATAAAATCACATCTATACAGATACTCACAACATCTACACAGACACTCACACATCATAATATGCATGTAGCTAGAAAATAACTATCCACCAATTCTTTCAAATCGTATTTCTTGGCTTATATAAATAAGGATGTATATGATCTTGTCTTCCTCTCCACCAGTTTGACCAGCAGACAAACCTTGGACTGTTGTCCAGAGATTACTATGCTTGCACTGGACCGTACGCAGAGGTAGGCTTGACGTGGACCCACACACTTGGGAATTATTGAATGGTTTTATTCAATACAGGATGAATTCCAAGTTTTTACAATTAAACTGCTGAATTTTAACACCCATATATTTATAAAAGAGAAGCAGCTCTATTGAAAAATAAATGAATAATCTTCTATGAAAATACTTTTGGAAATAACTTCCTTTTAAAAGCCAAAACTGAATACAAATATCATGAATGTGTGTGTTTGACAGGCATGTCGGGCCTACGAGCAGTTCATGTTTGACCTGGCTAAGCTAATTCGCACTGACCGGAAACTGGTCATCAATGAGACCAGCATCAGGCAGCAGGTGGCACGAGTCATGGACCTGGAGAAGGACATCGCCAATGTAAGCACTCACACTTTTTCCTCCATCTGCTTCAGAAAATATCCCATTTTGTTCTTTGAGAAACTGAGGACACGTCAACACACAATGCACACCTTATCGTCTGTCTCCGCTAGGTATATAATGTGAGCAAACCATTTGTTGCCCAAACTGCTCTCCTCTGTGTGTGTTTTGGGGTTTAGTCTGGAGCAGCTGCTGTGTAAAACAAGCTGTTAACCAGCCTGGTCCCTACACAACATCTTTTCTCTGACATCAACAGGTTTCCACAATCCATGTTTGTCATTCTGCGCTGGTTCTGTGCTCTGCTCACTGCCACGCTTCACTTCCCCTCCACACGGCTGATGGCTTTTACAAGGCAGTCACACTGTTCAAGCTCTGACATTTACAGACCTGAAGCCTCACGGGACACCAAATATGTTTGTTGCTACTGGACCTGCCAGGGAATTGCTCAGATGTGTCAGAAAACATGAGAGTTTTGTTCTGACAGCATTCTTGATTTTCTGCCCATCTGTCTTATCCATTCCAAGGCTACTGATACTCCAGAGGACCGTAACAACCCTGTGTTGCTTTACAACAAGATGGAACTGGGTGATATGAGCACCAACTTTACCCTTGAGGTTGAATCCCAGGTAAAAATAGACTGCTGTTCTTTCAGAGTTTGCTGTTTCTTTTTCACCTTCCTTCCTCTTTTTAATGCCACTTTTTGTCCTGTTTCTCTGTGCTTTTGGACTTGAAGGTATTTGACTGGAGTTACTTCACAGCGAAGATAATGGATACAGTCAATATCAGTGTTCCTGACACAGAGAAGGTCATCAACTACTCCCCCAACTATTACAGAAGACTCAGCGTTATCTTGGCCAAATACAACAAGAGGTGTTTTTGTTGAAACTGAAGTGTTTGTGGGTGCCTTTGGGTGCTGTAAGAAAACAGCTGCTCACCCAGAACTGACATAGTGTAGCTTTGTGTGATTATAATTTCTCTGAACATCATTCTTCTGCTCACAGGGATCTGCAGAACTACATGGTGTCGCGTTTTGCTATGAACATGGTGGTGGGCCTGAGCAGATCTTACAGGGACACCAGGAAAGCCTTCCGCAAGGTAAACCTCAAAGACCTTGGCACAACTGATACTACATTTTAGAGGTGGATAGCAATCAGTTGGGCACTAAATGGCATCAGTAGACAGGCCCTGGGACTTCACCCCTGTCAGTGGCTATAACCACATTATTTATCTATATATTCAACTATGCCAACACTTTTGTGCAATAAATCAACCCTGCACTCCTACAGCTTACTCGTAAATGCTACATCATATATTATTACTCATATCCTTTTTTTAGTGCTCTGAAATATGACCACACTCAAGCATAGATCCAGTGCTTTTAGATTGTCAGTATTTAAACTTGTGTTACATGTTGTAGTAAACATGTTTTTTATAAATGTATTTGTGTATATGATATACTTTTTATAATTTCCATTTCTTATGATATCTCTAAGTCTATAGTCTATATATTCACTCTTATACTAGATTATAGGATGGGACCAACTGTGACATAGCCACCTTTCTCCCTGGGATCAATATAGTATTCCTGGATCTGATGATTCTGAATCAGAAAAACCAAATGTACTTGCTAAATGCTAATTGTGATCGTTAGAACTTTATAACTCGACAATAAAACATTTCTGATGTTTGGCAGGTATGTATAGTACCATTTTAATGTAACATATTAGGCATGGGAACATTTGCTAATTAGCATCAAAACAAAAGGACAGCTAAGGCTGAATTGTCATAAACAAAAGCATTTGGCAATGTTATTCCACTGCTGGTGGAACCCTATGTTATTCAAATGAATACTTGTAGGGTCACAAGACATTTCACTCATAAGAAAAAATGCGAAGCTCACTTTGGGTCTAGATAAAAGATCAAAGCAGCAGCAAAGTGAGTAGGATTTGTCTTCTGGGGACCATGAATGTGTGAATATAACTTTATAGAAATCCATCCGGTACTCAAGAAGATTTTTAACTTGATCAAAGTTCTATCAATGTGGCTGACCCTAAAGCCATGCTGCTGGAATAACCTTGTTGATGCTTTGGTGAAACACTATGTAGAAATGTTCTAAATTATTCTATACTGCAGATTCTTAGCATCAGCTTACCAATATGCAGATACTCAGATATAAATTGTGCTTAATAGGCTCAAATAAACAGTTGTTGTCGACACTCTGTTCATTTTCTCTTTGTAAACAAATCAATTCCCTTCTGTCCTTTTTCTTATAGGCCTAAGTGCAAAAGTGATGCATAATGGAGGTGCAAATAAAGAATCACCATGAGCCTCTTTAAACAACATGCTGAGTGGTTCATTCTACACCTCTAATTGATCGGTGCCGTGTTACTTTTCCTTCAGGCTCTGTCTGGTACAACGTCAGAGGCAGCAGTGTGGCGACAGTGTGCACTTTACGTCAACAGCAACATGGACAATGCTGTGGGAAGACTGTATGTGCAGGAGGCCTTCTCTGAAAAGAGCAAAGAACTGGTCAGTGAAGGGTTGATTATATACTGGAGGGTTTGAACATGCATACAGACAGTTTGACAGCATTTAGTTTCCTGCTAAGTGTGTTTTCGTGTTTAAATCTTTCATCACATGTGCGTCTTCTGTCCCCACCAGTGTAATGCATTATGTGCTTTCACCCATTCAAAGCAGCTGAACAAGGTGTCCTGTATCATGCCCCCACCAACACCACCGTGAATTTCAACTCTGTGCGCACGTGTGTCAGATTGCACTCAGATCGTTTGCGTAACCGTGTACATCAGTTGCAATGCTGAGTGCCTCACACGCCTTAAATCTTGGTCCTCTCCTGGAACTTTACCCACTCTTGGATTTCATGTTGCACCCTGAGCAAATGAGTTTGTGTGTGTGTGAAAAGTGACACACAATTCCAAGTAGGTATTAACACCCCTTTCTCCGAATTCACGACCATGCATATAATATGTGTAAGTGTGCTGAGAGTTGCCCTGCAGCTGGCACACATGCTGCACTCCTCACATACCAACCTTCTCGCAGCCACAGAGATTTATTTCAGATATGATCATCAGTGTAATGAAGCACTTTTCCACACATACTTAACACTGATACCTATGACTCAGAAGAAAACATTGTACAATTTGATCTTTGACAATTATTGATTTTTTTTTGCCTTTATCAATTAAGTTATGTGGAAATATTTTACAGCATGATCTTTACTAAAAGATACAACTATTATGACAGACAAAAAAACGACGTACACAGTTAAACAAATATTATTCTGATCCATAAAATAACGCAACAATAATATACAACAACTTCTTTCTGCATAATGAGAAATGTGATTCTTAGATTACATATGCAAAACCTCATTATTCTGAGAGCGAGTGAATAGATCAAGTTGAAGAGCGGTGAATTGGTGCCCATAAATGGAAATCATTGCACTTTAAATTATTAATATGATACACAAAGTTTAAATAAGCTTTCCATTTAATAAAAACCCAGCATGTAACACGTGTTAATACAGTATATCTGAAAATTGCACATGCAAACAGACAACAATCTAAATATGATTCTAAAGCATCGACACAAGACAAACCCATGTGCACACACACACACACACACACACACACACACACACACACACACACACGTGTTTGTTTCAAGGCTTCCAAATAGCTTCATCAGTATGGTCCCTGGAGTTTAGTTATTGGTAAACCAAAGCATATTGTCCGAGTGGTCATGGAGTGTACTAGTGAGGAATCGGCTGATGTGATGAGACGCTGGAATGCCTCTGTCAGCGCTCTACGGTCTCAGAGCACAACTGTGGTTATAGACATCTGCGAGCATGACCTTAGCTGTCACTGCAGTTTTTAAGTTTCCCCCCTTTACTGTTCAGATTTCATTCTTACTGCGCTTTGTTTTGTTTGTGTGTGGCCTATAACTATCCGATGACCACGGTACAGTACATGATTTGCACAGAATGATGTATGGTGGCGTCAGTCAGTCTGTCTCTATGAACAGTATTTAGGCGAATACTTGTAAATACTGTAATACTGTATGGAGACCAACTTGCACCACAGGTTCCCACTGAAAATGGATATTTGGATGTTGATTTTGGAGCATCTTACTGTGAGAACGGTCATAGAAAAACATCTGATTATTCTGAGACCTCCATCTTGAGACCTCTACAATGCCAATAGTATATGTGTATATAATTGGTTATTAGTATTCTCACATGGAAATATTTGTTCTGTGTCACACATTATTTGCTTAATAAGAAAATAATAACTCATTTGTGTTACATATTGTAAATATTAAGATCAATAACCTCTTCTTTAATTTGGAGTTAAAAAGCTCTTGATTTGTTCAATCAAAAAGTTAATCCCAAACTACTAGATGCTTATTTAAGTACATTTTAATATTAAAAGTTGTAAAGTGCTGAAAGGAAGTGGGAAGCATCAATTTGAGATACACTGTAGAACCTTTTAAGACAACAAGTAGTACAATGAAGTTGTAAACATGTACAATAGTTTATACGTTTGTCAAATATCTGTGACATATTTGTGACTGTTGTCTCTTCCCGTGTGTGTGTGTGTGTGTGTGTGTGTGTGTGTGTGTGTGTGTGTGTGTGTGTGTGTGTGTGTGTGTGTGTGTGTGTGTGTGTGTGTGTGTGTGTGTGTGTGTTCAGATGGAGGAGATGATTAAAGACATTCGGGAAGTGTTCATTAGTAACCTCTATGACCTGACATGGATGGATGCGGAGACCAAGAAAGCAGCTGAGGAAAAGGTATTAACTGCTGAGGCCTGTACAACGAAGCCGGATTTTCGCTTTAGCGGGCTAACTTCAGGGAAAACTCTGGGTTTCCGGTCCTACGACGCTGGTTCTCTTTTTAACGGGCTAGATCTCCATGGTAACTTATGCTGAGTGGCTAACCTGGTCCAGAGCAGGTGAAAGCACCGCCTTCTGACCAATCAGAGCTCAGTGTGCAGAGTTTAAAGCGATCAAGTCATATTACAGGAGAAAGGAAATACAGTTTAAACTGCCGTTGCAGGAAAGACGGCCGGCAAAAATCACCGACTGTGTGAACGTTACATTTAATAGAATATCACCTCCCATCTTCAGAGCAATCTAACTAATATAACATTAGCGTTAAGAAAGCTTACTTGAATATCTGCCACAACATAAGTAACCGGATCAAAGTAACATTACGTACAGTCCGCGGCACTGTGAGTGCAGACGTCAATGTGTCCCATATCACATCATATCACCAGTGGTGTTTTTATATGTACAAAAGTGGTGGGGCACAAAAAACTTAGATGTCTATATATAAGCTTCTGCAGTGACGTGCAGTGAGGTTCATGGCTGGTGAGGCACTGACACTGACTCTTCAGGTTTACAAATATAATATTTTGACCTAAATAAAAATTGACGAAACACTTGAGTCAAATGTAATTAAAGTCAGATCCACTCGTTTCTTAGACGGGGCAGTGATATCATAAACCTGTTAATGTACGCATTCAAACACTTTTTCTTTTACCAGCTGTATTCACCTTGCAGGTGCAACTATGAGGCTTTTATCCTGGATAAAGTGTTTGAGTCATGGATGTTTAAAGTTTAACTTCTTCATATTTATCTAATATTATAGTTCACTTTTCATTCAGGAAGTATGACGCTGCACTGTCAGTACGCTTCTCCATGTTTGTGATTGGTCAAATGTTGCTAGCCCCGCCCCTTTCATGTGAACGCGCAAATAACTAGATAGGGCACACCGGGCTTAAGTTACCGAGTTGATAACCAGCGTCGTAAAACCGCTTAGCGGGAGCGCGATTGTTTTGGACTAGGTAAGCCGGGTAACTCAAACATATCCAGGGTATGTTGAACTGGATTCGTAGTACAGGCCTCTGATCTCATGCGCATGTAAACAAACTTGGGGACTCTTTCTGCTGCTGTGTAGATATATGTGTGTGATTCTAAGCATATAAATGATACCTCTGTACTGACCATTCCTCCTTGATGAGTAGTTAGATGGCAACGCTTATAATTAAGGAGTCATCAACCACTTTAAACGTTCATCGCAATTACAGCAGAATAATATCCAACCTCCCAGCTTGTCCTTACTGCTTCTGTATGTAAACACACACGGTAACAGACACGCAATAACAGACACAATGCAAAGCCAGCTACTTAAAGACGAGAGTAGAAAGTATGGCTGAACTCTGTCTAGAAACCTACGTCAACACGTCTTAAACTGGCGTTGTGGTGATGGCAGACATCCACAGCCTTCTCTCTGAAATACATTTCCTCTCAGCACTCCTGACTTACTGAACAAAGCGGTGTGCACAGAAGGAGGAAAGCTGCTCTGTCCTTTGCTGTCAGTGCATATCATCCACTGTATAATACAGGGAGTGTGTGGAGGAAGCAGGGGCTGGAGAGGACAGCTTTTCACTATGCCAAGTCACCCATTACAATCAATGGCATCAAGCAACAGCAAGCAGGCTTAATAAAAAGCTTCCTGCTTTCTTTTGAAAAAAAGAAATTCCCTTTGAGACATTTAGCTTGGAGCTAGATGAGCAATGAACAACAGTCTGCATACAAGCTATCTGGTGCCGAGTCCCAATATAAGAACCTTTTTTTACAAGGGAAGCCTTTAAGAAATACAACCGGTCTGCAAGTAATTCATTACTTTATAGATATCTGTTTATCCTTTTTTAAAGTTGTTTATAGTCAGGAAGCGTTGAAAAATCACCAACAATCTCCATTGTGTTGATATGTCTTCAAATTTAGCAGCAAAATCAGCCAAAGACAGATAAAAAGCAGCGAGCCGTTATAACTGAGTAAGCATGACTCAGACACTTTTGCTAAACATTAATACATTTCTTGATATTCTAGCATCTACTTATTCCAAAACTGTGTGTGATGATTAGCAGTAATAGTGTCTAAAAGTTGATACTTTATTTATTTTTCAAGATTTTCATTTGATGAATTAGTCCATCAACAATTACGACATAGAAAGCTTTAAATTATCATTTATAATATTTGCTACAGCTTCTGCAATGCAAACATTTGCTTTCCTCATTTTAATTCTGTGCCATTGTAACCATGAGGTCGGTTTTATGCTGTTGTTTACACAAAAATGTGATTACTTTTGGGCATTTGCGTTACATGATTCATTTTTACCCAAACAATTTAGAAAACTAAAGACATGAATAAGCAACATACTTCAAATGAGCTGTAAAACAACACAAACCATTTCAAAACAGACATAAAACCATCATTTTCAGCAAAGACCCCTTACACCAGGGGTGTCAAACTAAATGTCATCACGGGCCACATTCGCATAATGGTTGCACTCAAAGGGACGGTTGTAACTTTAAGACTATATAAAAATACATATATAAATATATTTAATATATATAAAATAATGTATTATATTACATCATTGCCTCTCAATCAATCAATCAATCAATGTTTATTTATATAGCCCAATATCACAAATGTTACATTTGTCTCAGTGGTCTTCACAGTGTGTACAGAATATCAGTATGACAATACGACACCCTCTGTCCTTAGACCCTCACATCGTACAAGGAAAAACTTCCGGAGAAAACTCACAGTTTAAAGGGGAACATGGGAGAAACCTCAGGGAGAGCAACAGAGGAGGGATCCCTCTCCCAGGACGGACAGACGTGCAATAGATGCCGTGTGTAAATTTAAAAGATAATACATTTGCAATTGGATTATTATCGGATAGGTTAATAACTTCACAATTAACTCGGTCTGAAAGCAGAAGTCTAGGGCAAATAATTGCAAGTCTCTTCAGTGAGAATGTCACAAAATGATTTTAAAAGACATTTTTCCAAAAAATTACATTTTTCAAAGAAAGTCAATTCTGAGAAAAGGGCAAATTCTGAGAAAAAAGGCATATTTAGAAGAAAAAAAATCAAATCTAAGATGCATTGTGCTCCACGTATGGGCAACGTGCTTCTGTAAANGGTCTCAACAGTCTTTCGTAAATTTAAATCTGCACGGAATTTATGAAGTCTCTTTATTTTTACGAGTTAAAGTTAAAAACGGGACGATCTGACGAAGGTTCGTTCACCGCTCGACGCGTGTATTTTCGACTGAAGGGATTCTGTTCAGAATGAGAACCGTGTAGATTGTTCTATATAGGACGCTAGCGTCTGTTATCGACGAACGTTAAAGACGAAAAGTCTACTTGTCTGATATTATGCCCTCAAAAAACGGGTTGTATCGAAAATATCGATTTTTCACATGGTCACTAGACTCCGGAGGCATGTCACTCGACTACCATTGGAACGGCAAACGCATATGTCACATGTCGATTTTTTTTTTCTTCATACAAATTTTAGTAAGACAATTGTAAGAGTGACTTCTCTGGACGTTAATAAAGGGATCTGAGACGAAAGTCTTGGCTCGACATTAATACTTCAAGTAAATGGGATAGGCTATTAATTCAGGTTACGTCCTCCGTTATTACATTCCATATTATGTAATAAAATAATATATAATTTATAAATTATATAAAAATAAACTATAAATCAAAGAATTTCAATGTTGACCGGGAAACTTACGTTGGTATTACGCTTACACCGGCACTACTTTAACTGTGGGGACGACATCACGTAGAAAGATTATAAGGGTATCTTCACGATTATGTGTCCGGTTAATTTCTTTGTGTCTTTGCGGGGAAGTCCAAGTCTCAAAAAAATAACAAACCCCTCAATCCTTTATTTTCCACCCCTGACATAAAAAGCACTCCTATTTGCCCAACACGCGAATATTTTTTAGGGTTTTGAAGATTAAACAAACGGCGGACGAAGGAAGGTAAACTTAACTAAAAAGAACGGTCTTTTTACATACCAACATATGTTGAATATGTAAATATGATATCCTCTGTTGTTTGTTTGTTTGTTGTTTTTATGTTTCATGTGGAACTAAATGATGCAGATCTCCCTTGTAAATGAGATCGATGATCTCAAGGGACCAATCTGTCTAAATAAAGGTTTGAAATGAAATGAAAGTAACATTTTGAAAAAAAAAATCAAAATCTGAGAAAAGGGCAAATTCTGAGAAAAAAGGCATATTTAGAAGAAAAAAAGTCAAATCTGAGATGCATTGTGCTCCACATATGGGCAACGTGCTTCTGTAAATCGCCATGTAACCGTATAACAAACACAATATTCTTTGCAAGCTCTTGTGCGGCCACATAAAATGAAGTCGCGGGCCGGATTTGGCCCCCGGGCCTTGAGTTTGACACCCCTGCTCTAAAGGTTTACAGTCACTTTTTTGTGAATCAGTCAAAGTCTGAAATAATTATGAGCTAGCTAATTCAACAGAACTGCAATTTTAGTTACCGACGATCCACAGCCACATTGGATACCTGATTTAGACCGATCAACTGCAAGCATTAATTCTCAGTGTTAATCTTCCACACCAGTTGACCAACATGTCTACCGTTGCAAGGCGGCTTGACAACTTACAGTGTTTCTCGGCACAGAGCCCAGCTACATCTATCTTCCTGGCACTATATAGACACACCCATCTCTTAGCTGCTCTCTGTAATTTGATTTACCAGCCCTGTGATTGGATTACACGGCTGACATCCATGTCCCAGCCACGAGAGTCATGTCCACTCATTTGCTGTACACACTACACACACACAAAAAATAATGCACACAGATATACACAAATACACACAGGCTTGTCTTAAAGTGGCCCTATTTTGCTCACTTTCAGGTTCATATTTGTGTTTTGTGCCTCCACTA